CTACCCAATTCTCAGAAATGAAATAAATTATGACCCTTTAGTTAATAAATCAATTGATGAAACTTATTATAAAGAAATTATCTTAAACAATTATGAAATTAATTCGAAAAATTTAAAAGATAATTTTATTTATATAAAAGACCATGGTATAGTAAAAGTAATAAACATAATTCAATTGTCAAACTCTAAAATTCAAATTGAAGTAATTAAATATAATATATCTCCTATGTTCCAAAATCCTATTTCATCAGATATAATTAAAATGTATTATGTACATGATATAATCCCAAAACCCCCTTTAATATCAATTAATATAGAATCAAAAAAATATAAGTGTTTTTCTTTTCCAATTACTAATAATAAGTCAATAGCTATAGCATTGTTGCATACTACATAATATTATTACCATCATTATTACCTATATTTTAATTAAATATACCTATAGTTTATTGATGCTTAGTTTTTTAATACCTGTTGTAATAAATAACTTGTAAAATATAATATTTACTATTGAATGTATTATGTTCTATTCTTTATTCAAAATATATATTTCAATACCTACATAATTTATATTGATATATTGTTTTTAAAATATAATAAATTCATTATTTGTCTTAGTTAATGTTTATTTAAACATTATCTATAGTGTGTGTGGCCAAACTTTACTGTCCTTTTATACATTAGTTATTTAGTTAAGGTAGTTAAGTAAATACTTGTATATAGCCATAGGTACCTACGGTATAAGTATAATTTATTGGTTTATGAGTATTACGGTACAAGCATGGGAAGTGCCCATGGAGCTGAAGAACCTCCCCCCCTGACCATCCACAATATACATTTTTTAGTGTTGTTTCATGTAATAATTATCAATTTATGATCATAGTGGTGAATGGTGATATAAGCGAGCTACATTCATATTTCATATATAGAATATTAACTTAATTATTTCAAACCTAATTTTATGTCTATATTCTACTGAGTGGTACTAATTTATTTTCGATCCCCCCTCCCCTTCCAATTTAAAAATCCTACGAACATCAGTATTCCACTGACTTTAAAGTTGGTAAAGTACATAATATTATGTATATTAATTATTAATATTATTGTCGCAGATTTAAAACAATTTAAATAGTCGAGATTCGTCATCCATATCTTCTTCAGTAGTGTCCCGGTAGGTTAGGCGTTTAGTTAGGTAGGTAGGGGTAGCGAGATCGATTCCCGAATCGGAGGATTAAAATTGTGCAAGAATTTGTACGAGGTCGCGCGTAACTTTTGAATTTTTTCACAGAATTCTTTATAATATTTTATGTATGTAACGTTCTATAGATGACTTATTGCACTTAATGAGATGTCTTTGTGATATTTATGATAAGCATTTAAATTATAAAAATGCATTCCCTAATACTTAACATAGATATCACATAGTAGTTACATTGTGATGGTACTACTACATTCTTTTTGAGACATCACACAGATGAACTTCACAAAACTGGGCGTTAAGCGTCTGTGAGTTGTCTCAGAGTGGTTACTGAGAAAAAATTATTAACTTCTCACTTCACAGTGCGACTGTTATGTGATAGATATGTAACTAGATTTTGCACATAGGGCTACCATTTCAATTTTATCCTTGTTATTTGATTTAGAGCGCGTTATTTCTTTTATTAGTTGCTATGTTGCTTTTGAACTATGAGAGACACTCTTAAACTTTTTTTCATAAAAACTTATTTTTGCAAGTCTTAGAACACTTGTATATTTATTTTTATATTTTTTATAATAGGTAGCTAATTTAACATTATTAGGATTTTTCTTACATTTTAATGATAGAGCTTCATTATGTCGTGTAGAACATAGTAAACCCGCGGACATCCACTCTTTTAAACGTTTATTTTTACAACTGACCACTTTATTTACAGTTGATATATCAATTGCCTTACTAATTATATTTTGAAATGTATTAAAACACTCATTAGCGTTAGTTTTGTTATATATTTCACACCATTTTTCTGTTTGTAATAACAATTTAATTTTATCATAATCAATTATAGAAAAAGTATTATCTCTAGTTTTTAAGGTATTGATTATTGGTAAAGAAACACAGATAGAAAAGTGGTTACTTATATCAGTCTGCAACATACCAGAGTTAACTAAATTAATTAAGTGCTCATTACTGTTAATAAATATATAATCTAGACAAGCATGATTACGACCATTAGGTAATTTGGTATTAATGTTTATAAATGACGCAAAACCACTCACAGATAATAGATCTAGGCATTATTAATCATTATTAATTAAATTATCACCGACAATATTTATATTTATATCTCCAATGAGAACAGTATAGCCACCTTTATATTTATATAAATAACTTACTTTATTTTTTTTTATTTTTAACCTTTATAACTTTACTTTATGTTTCCATAAAACTACGTATATCAGTCGAGGGTGATCTATAAATGCATAAAATATTTATTGGCAGACAAAGAATCATTAAAGAGATTTTCACAATGTTTGTTTCTACATAATCGTATGTTTTTAACAAAAATAACTATTCCATCATTTTGATTTCTTTTTATAGTTGAAAAAATAATTTATAGCCATCAATAGTGTAGTTACAATGATTCGAAGCATTATGCCAAGTTTCAGTTAGAATAATTATATCTAATTTTTCATTATTTTTACCACTTTCTAAAAACAACATTAATTCATCAAAATTGGCGTTTACGCTGCTAATATTACAACAAAAAATATTTACATAATTATTACTACTTACATTTTTTACATGATAAAATTCAGAAAAAGATTCAAAATAATTTGTTTTATAACTTAGATATCCTTCAATATTTAAACATTTTTCCATTTAAAATATGATATAAAATATAAACAAAAAATTACCTGCTTTGTAATGATGTTCAATTAAATTAGTTTAGATAAAGCGTCCTCATCATCAATTATTAAGGCTTTTGTACTTTCACTTTTTTTAATAAACAATTTTAAGTCTTTAAACCACACAAATTTAAAACTCTTTTCACGAGCATACACTTTAGCTTTAAAAAACAGATTTCTATTAAACAGAGTTAGAAAATCATTAATATAAATCTTATCATTATTCCAATTAGGATTAACAGTTTCACCTGTTAGTTTTGTTTTCCTTACATTTTCCATCAAAGTTTTTTTAGTCTGGTTTGTCTGGAATTCAACAATCATTTTTCTGGGTTTGTTTTAGAATTTCGACTGGATACGATAAGCTTTCAAAATAGTTGTTTCAACTCCTACTGATGCCGCGATTGCCTCCACTGTTTTAATACAATTTTCATTATTTGTTTCTGGAACACAAACAATTTCAGCAAAGTTTTCCAATGATTTTTGTTCTAAGACATTAATACGCTCATCTAAATAAGTAACTTCATTATTCAGTTTATTATTTTGTTCTTTTAAAATTTGATTTTCCTCCTTCATATACTTTATTGTCGCTAACATTTCCTGTAGTTGATTGCCAAAGCTATCAAACTTATCGCTCATGTAGTTAACTGAATCAATTAGACTTTTAAAAGTTTCGTTTGATAAGGTACATGAATCCAAACTTTTAAGTACTGTAGCACTTACCGAAGTCGGTGTTTTATCCTTTGGAACTGGATATTTGCATTTATTACAACTCCAGTTCAATTTAGCGTTTTTTGACATTTTTCTAAACGAGGTTTCTCTTAAAGAAGCACATCCGAAATGTAAAAGTGTAATACACGTTGAACAATTAATTTCATCTCCATCAAAAATATCATCATTGCATTCATTACACAACATTTTCACAACTTATACTTATTTATAAATATAATAGAGAAATTATAAGCCAATTAACTATTTAATCAAAAAGAAAATTAAAGATAAGACGCTATTAACGTCCGTACTCTTCAAGCACTCGATGTTCACTGAAAATTATCTGATTGTATTTTACCACAAATTATATTTACAAGTTATGGGATTTTGGCGGCACACGTTCCCATGATTATATGAATCTCGGGTACGAGGCGGCCTTACATTGACGGGTATGGTTGGTATGTACAGAGTCGGGGCGGCCTGGGTGGCTATTGATTAGCCAACTCGAAAAAGTGGCGTCGATTAATAGTCCCAGGCGGGAGAGCGTGGCCTAGGCAGGCGCGCTTGGGGGGACAGTGGGTGTGTCGTAGACGATCTTATTGTAAGTTGTCTCGGGTCTCTGATGACGCTGAAGTGATCGGCAGTAGCGGGTCCCCGTTGAGGTGACCGGGGTGGCCGATGTATCGATGCTTAGTCGTCTGTCCTCAGGTGGCGACGTCACAGTCCGGGAGTGTTCTCGGTCGGTTGCTACTAACTTGGTGTGACCGCTCGCATATACGTTTCCTTGGCTTGGTTTCCGGGTGTCCGGATAGCCTCGGTGCCCTGTCACGATCCGTGGGAGATATTGGTCGCGCTGGCCGTGGGTAGACCGTGTGCGTCGTCGCTACTGCGGTTGGTTTGACCGAGTCGCTAGTACGCTTGGCACGGCTTAGCCCGGAAACGGGCTATTTTATAGATGCGGCACGGTCGGTGTCGACGGCAGGTTGAATCGCCGCCGCTGGTCACAGCTGTCGTTGTTCGCTCTTGTTGGCGACGATCGGCTTCGACAATTCCAGAGGTTCGCTTTTGCTAGCGACGTTCGTCTTCGGTAGTGATGGTTCTTCTTTCCTTCAGTAGAGATGTGTTGTTCGCGAACGAACGGATCGCATTGAACGGGTCAAAGTAGTGAACGAGACCGATCCGGATCGCAGAATAACTTGATTCGGGTCGCCGAATATCGTTCGTTTTTTTTACATCAGAATACCTACACTGTATGTCTTGAATGTGATAACAATCGAATCGATCGTGATAATAAAGAATAAATATTACACAATATTAGTTAGGTTAGTATGCAATAGTCAATAGAAAAAAAAAAATAAGTAATAAAAAAAAATATATTTTTTGCATATTATGATTAAGGAATAATATTAGCGAAATTTTAGTTGGAGAGAGTCTACTTCTTTATTAGAAGCATTATCCGTAACTACAGTTGTAAGTTTGTGACACAAATTCCATTCATCAACTGTGTTTCTTAAAAAACGAGATAAATTGTCAGACGTATGTCTTTCATCAAAACTGTTACATCCTAAGAATACTGATGAAATTTGTGTTTGGTTTTTAGGGTCAATAAAATGAGCAGTTACCGAGATAAAACTTAGGTTATTTCTTGATATCCAACCATCCGTGGTCAAACACACTGCTGACACATTGTTTAATGTATCTTTAACACATTCTACAGTCATGTTGAACAATTGTGGCATCAAACTTTGAGTAACTGTTTTTCTTGATGGAATTAAGTAATTTGGACATAACATTTTTATAAGATTTCGAAATTCTACATCCCCTACAACACTAAATGGATGATATTCCTTTACAATCATCTTCAGTAATTGTTGATCAATCATTTTTGATTTATTTATAGGAATTGGCTTTTGGATGAAGTTTTCTATTGAGGACTAGCGTTTGTCAAGTGGTTTAAAGATTGTCGAATACGTTGTTGCTACTGAAGATGATTGTTGTCTAGTAGGACTTAGATATGGATGTTGAGGGTTGTAGATCATCAATTATCTCAGAGTTGGACTCATTTACCTATTTATAAGTATTATTAGTAACAGTACTACACTAGATAATTTGTATTGGTATTTACAGGTATTTAAATATAATAATTATAAATTGTTTACCAGTGTTGATCTATGTAGTGGAATTGCTGTATGTATAGTGTTAATATGTCTTAACAAATTACCAGTAGATCCGCCAGTATAACTTTTTGTTTTATTACAATGATTGCATTTTGCCAAAGTTGTATATATAGGTGTGAAGTGAGCCCATACTATACTTCGCTTTTTATGAATCAAAAGATTTTTTACTGGAGGCATGATAATTCTAAGAATTTTAATTTACTTCAATTGTATTTTAATGAACACTATGTCAAACAAAAAAAGAACATCGGACATCACAACACAATAACTAAAATGTAATAAACCAGCGGTTCTTTACCTTTTGTAGAACACGGACCCCCGATGAAATATTTTTAGAAATCGCGGACCCCCCCCCTACCAATTTTTTGTCGAATACCTTTTTTAATAAACATATCAAGTAATCATAACCAAAATTATAATAACTATTTTATATTACAAATTATAGAAGTAGACATAACAAAATATACACATTTATAATTATTTTTATTAAACTTAATTTTTCATTTTAAAGTTTAACATCATTAAACACTTAAATTTAAAAAAAAAATTAATAATAAATATTTTATAACGGCCCGCCATGACAGACAATATAAGATTATAATTTTATATGAAACAAAAATAATAATCCAAAAATATTGTAATAATGCACTCATGTCAAGTATTAATTATTATGTTAGGTGGTAAGGCTGCCGCGGACCCCCGACAAGAGTATTGCGGACCCCCAAGGGGCCGCGGACCACAGGTTAAGAACCGCTGTAATAAACAGTATTGAAGACAGAAATATAATTTTGATAATTTCCTTATCTGTGGTATTTTTAAATATTACACAATTTAGTTTAAGTTTTCAGTTAGTATTTTTTCATTATGTACCGAAGTACATTTTTTATTTTTTTTTGTTACTGTAAAAGTATAAAAAAATTTGTTTTGTTATATTATGATATGATATATACTGTATTGTATTTTTTGTATATCACTTATTAATTCATAAGTAATACATGCATTTATTTTTTTATTATTTTATTAAATGACACACTCGAAGGGTAATGTGGTACAGAATACAAAGATAATATAGTGGTAAAATTATTAGTTAATAAGTAAATATTTAAGATTTGTTGACATTGTCATGAAAAAAATCTTAGTCAGACTGTCAGAAAGAGTGTTACAATAAATTAACATGCAGTTGAGTGGATTATATTTAACAAAATTATTTCTACAATTCTACCTAAGCTGGTATACAATAATTGACACAGACGGATATTATAAACCGGCAATTTGAGATAAATTTGTTCCAGAAAGTTTGGACAGTCGATTTTATTATTTAAAATCTTATGGATAAATGCTACCTATATCTGTGTTTAGTGGTATAGAATTACCCGGCGTTGCCCGGGAAAAACTCCTTTTAGGTGTAAAACATTGTAAAAGTAATGTCTTTTTAAGTGTAAATTATATAATATTTTTAAGTGTAGCCACATCTGTCTAGAATTGAAGTAGTGTTGTTTGGACCCCCCTTCCATGAAGCCGTCCAATTAATAACCATATTACTTATTGTATAGTATAATAGCTTAGCCCGGAAGGTATTCAACTATTTTATATAAAAAAAATGACCATGATTTAATGAATTTTAATAGCATGAAACTACTATTTTCTTATATTGTACCTGGTTGATTTATTAATTTATATATTATCTCTGTAAATATTTCTATATAATACTTTTTTGTTCTTTGGTAAGGCGCATACACATATAGATTTTTTTCCCGAGCCGACACGGGAGCAAGTAACATAAAATTGTCCGTGGGTAAAACGGGGATTCGTAATGTCAAGTCCGCCAACCTTCATTGTCTCCCTGTGCCTTATTGATAGACATAGCAAAACAAAGCTTTATAGGAAATTGTACTCTTTTAAATTCGAACAGGTATTCATTAGTAATCATCTATTAGCCGGAAAAATTTTTAGATTCAATCACGTTCCTCTGCATAGTTACTATCCGTAATCTAGTACCATTGCATAATTTCGGTGCATTTAAATTCCTCATAAGTATTATTGGAGCCCCGATTTTCAAGTCTAGTTTATGCGGAGGAAGTCCTGATGGATTCAAAGAATTCAAAAATTCAATGGAATATTAATAGCATCATCTTGATCAGTCAGATTATCAATAGAAAGATAAGTTTGTTGATGGGCCTGAAACATTGAAAGAATTTTATTATTTATACTTTTAACAGAATCGTTTTTAGGTGCTAAAATCGCTCATTCGCGTAACCAATCATTCGTTTTCTCTGAAATTTGAGTGACTTGCGGGTAAACATTAACTATTAATTCGTCTTGTCCAGCGACGCTAGTTGCAAATGTTGGTTCTATTAGTACTTCACCATCATTATTATTTAAAATATTTCCATATCCTATATTCAAAAGATTTCTTGAAAATTGTGCTGCATTATTATCACCACCCAAATGTACTCGCATATTTGTGGTCAATCTTAAAAGTTTGACAGAAGCCCACAGAAACGACGATTTTAGGCAAGCATTTATTTCATCACTTTTTGTACTTCTTGGCACAACTGGCAATATTTGCCGAAAATCACCAGCGAACAGTATCACAACACCTCCCATCAGCTCTAAAATCTCTAAGTGTATGATCCAGAGCTTCAGGCCCACCTTTATTTGCCATAGTCGATTCGTCCCACACAATAAACGTCGTTTCTTTAAGCACTTTAGCTAGTGAGCTTTGTTTCGAGATACTACAAAATGGACGCTCTTGGCTTTGCAAATCTAAAGGCAATTTGAAAGTTGCGTGACCTGTTTTTCCATTCTGTAGTTATGTTTCAGCAATCACAGATGATGCTACTGCTAATGCAATTTTTCCTTGCACTCTAAATTTAGCAAACAAAATATGATCAAGAACGTTTTTCCAGTCCCGCCAGGTGCATCAAGAAAGAACGTTTTAAAACTGTTCTGTATCACGTTGTCGATTATGGTGTTGTATGCAAGTCGCTGGTCGTCGGTTAATTTTTGTTAAAATTGAAAGTTGGTTGGCATCATACGTTGTTTCTGAAAGATAATCCCCGTCCTGAAGAAATTGTCGGTCACGTTCTTCAATCCGCGTAGGAGATTCCATATCAAAGTCTGACTTCATTTTTCCTGATATTTTTAGAAGTTGATCTTCAACCAATATTAATGCCTTATTCAAAAGATTACTGATTCTCGGTTGTTTAAGTTATGCCTGTGTTGTTGCAATATATCAGATGCCATATTTTCTTTGTGTTTATTCCATTCTTCATTCAAATTTGATACATGACAAAAACAAAAGATTATCATGGTTACAAAAATTAAACATGGCAACATAACATATTACATTATTATAATGTGTACCTAACTGGCGGACAGTCTTGATCTGTACATAGCACTTTCATATTAGTTTTAGGTTCTAATATTTTTATATAAGGCCATAAGTAGGATCTTTCAAAGACGCGTTGACTTAATCAGCTAGTTAATAAAATAACAATCAAAATCGAGAAAAGACGTGTTCTGCCGAAAACGATAGAAAGTATTACACAGTCCATACAACGAAAATAATGTCAGCGTACGGCGATGTTAAAATAAATACGGTGTTGTGAACCCCTGAACAATATTATATTATATTATGTTGTCACATAATATAATATTAGCAGTAGGAATAGTGTGTTGGTCGACGGCTCGCCGACTGGAATCCGCTGACTAGACGATTCGGCGTCCGGCTGGGTCGCAGGCCGACACACAGGGAGGAGGTTAGTCAGTCGTGTTTAGAACAGAGCATTATACATAACGTATGTTAACCAGAGCCTTTTTTATACTTATGTACATTTAGTGAATTTAACAACCAGTAATAAAATCTATATTATTAATAACTAATCGTGCGTTAAATTTATTTGTGTTGGAACCACGGTTTCATAACATTTTTGGTGGCAGAGGTGGGATACGTCACAGTATACACTACCACGTTCGACTAGTGAAATTGTAGTAATAATATAGTGTGGTTAAGGCGTTAGCCGAAATTTTTACTAAAGTGCAAAGTATCCAGAGCTTCAAAGAACATTCAGAACATTCAGAGCAATAATAAGGAAATCAAGAAAAAAAAAAAACAGAACATTTCAGAAAAATATATTGGTACGTATAAAGTGCGTAACAATAATTTAACATTCGGTTTGGTATACGTGAGAGACCGAGCCACCGCGTCGTGTTCAGTATTTCCAACGTTGTCGCACCTCCGCCGCGAGCTCATCGCCGCCGTCGACGCGTTCGAAGGTTGAACATTGCCGCCCGTGACGTCACTACGCCGCCGTCGTGGTAGCCGCCGCCGTCGTAGTCGCCGCCGTCGTAGTTGCCGCCGTCGTAGTTGCCGCCGTCGTAGTTGCCGCCGTCGTAGTTGCCGCCGTCGTAGTTGCCGCCGTCGTAGTTGCCGCCGTCGTAGTTGCCGCCGTCGCAGTAGCCGCCGTCGTAGTAGCCGCCGCCGTAACAGCTGATACCCGTGTTGTAATCACGCGAACGGAATAATACACTATACCGTACGCGGCGCAACGAAAGACAGAAAATCAAGAACATCACTGAAGAGAAACCCATTATTTAATAGTGGTCCCCGCGCATAGCTGTTTCGGGGCTAGCGAACCTCGATACATCAAGCGCAGACGAAAAGGACGATTCCAGAGCATTCCAAAGTCAATCAAAGTGTTACG